TCTCATCCTCTTGTAGTTCCCACGCTCCTGTGGCGAGCTAAGAAAATGCTTATCTCCCTGATCCTGGCCTTCATAATTCCATTCCATCACACCTACTGACATAATAATTGGCACAACCAATCATCAAATAACCCTTTAGGAAAAGGTACCGCCCCCAGCCTCTCAAAGTGCTGGGAAAACAACTTGCATACCAAGGAAAATGGATTAAAAATGTGCATAAGTAGAATATTGGTATTCAAAACTGTGTTAGATTAGGAAAAGATGCATAGAAATATGTGCATGGTTTTGGATGGATGAAACTCCACAGACTGATGCAGAAGCAGGACAGAATAAACTTATGTTTGGAAAAATGTGGAATCGAGCAGAAGTGACGTATTTGCCTATCCTAAGTTGGTTGCAAAGATGTATCCTAGCTAATCAGATATTAGCCAGGAAAAAAAATTGCTCACCTGGATTATAGACTGCAGCTCCTGAATTTTGGTCTTCAGCATTTCATTTTCACGCTCAAGTTCCAGAACTTGTTCCTTCTTCGGTCGGTTTTCAATATCATTTTTGAGTTTCAGAGACTGGTTCCTCTCCAGTTTGCATTCTTCTTCCACTTTGTTCAACCTGTGTTTCAGCTTGTCAATCTAAGTCAGCCCCACAGAGAGCAAAGATAAAGAAACAGGCATCAATCATCGAGTACGTCCCGTCTTCAGAATGAATCCTTGCTCCATATGGTGCCATAAACAGCCTATATTCCATCTGTTGAGACAGTCTCCAAATCTAATTCCCCAAGCAGCCCAGTGCACTTTCAAACCAGTATGAAGGACTCTGGTTAATTTTCTATAAGACATATTGCAGAGACAGAAATAATAACTCAAACAACAGATCTGTTAGCCAAGAACAAGTGGGAAAGACAACAGAGTCAATTTAAAGCCATTTCAGACATTACTCAACAGCTCTAAAGAATGCAGGAGTGATCACAAAGCATGCTATTAGTAGCTAGATGAACTGAGGTTTTCATCATAGGGTTATCCAGGTCAGAATTTCACAGTCTGGTATACTCCAGAAGCACTGAGATGACAATTCTCAGAATTCCCAGAAGCTGAAATCCAACCCATCTGGATGTCCATAAGCTGTGAAAAACTGTAGTTTGCTGTCTAGGAGAATCTATTCTATTCAGTTGCTGTTGAACACTAACTCCCAGTATCTCTAATCATTGGTTATGCTGGCTTGGGACTGTATAAGATCTGGAGAGCCACAGGTTTCTCGCTACCACCTTGGGTAAATGATGCCCCCAAATATTACCTGTCAACCCACCCCATTCAGTCATGCCATGCTAAATCATAAAGTGGTTTGTTTGGGGTTTAGCATGATGTATGAATCTAGCCAATTATGTCTTGTTAAAAAACATGTACTAAAGACAGCTAATCAAATGATGGCTTAATGCAACAGGTGAACACAACGTTGTCATGCATCTCCTCTTACCTCTAGCTGCAGGTCTCGACTTCTCATCACCGCCATGTTCTTCTCTTCGCTGAGCTGGGCATACCTCATTGCCAAGTTATAGTTCTCATCCTTCACCTTGACAAGCTCATCATTGTAATTGTTCCTCTCTTCTTTCATTCTGTTGTATCTCTCCTGGAATGTTAGCAGCTCAATTTTGTTGAGTTTCAGCTGCTTCCTCTCATCTTCCATCTGGCGAGATTTGGCTAAGAGCTCACAGCGCTGGGCATCCTTTGTTTTGACTTGTTGCTGCAACTTTATGATCTCGTTCATCAGAAAGTGAGTGAGCCCTTCATGTCCCTCTTCTACTAAAGTAAAAATGGAGACAGAAACCGCCACAACACAGCAAGTCAATGGAGGTGAGTAGCAGAAACTGTTGAGTTGACAAAGATGGAGCTAAACACCCTGGTCCAGAAAACTGTAGACCAGCTTATAAATAGAGAGCAAACCCCATCCCATTTTAGCACTGAAGATGTTACCTAGCCGGGTAATGAAACGTTTGCAAGAAAAGAACTAAGCTCAGAGACCCCAAGGACTCCACAGTTCAACCCTGAGCTACACATTCAGCTCTACTGAGACTTAGAAGAACCCAGACTGAGAAAGACTAAGCCTAAGAGAGACCCTTTCAATGAAACCAGTTTGATCTTCTTTTTAATGTGTGCAAATATGATATGTCAGAAACTCAGTATCCTACTTTTCTAATTCTCTTCCTGGGCTCTGCTCCAACCAACAAAGAACCATGAAAGTTTACGAAGGATGTCCCCTGTACTGATTGTACTGAACAACAGAATCCCATAAAAATGCATCCAACTTACCAACAATAGTGGAAAAACGTCGTGTGGGTTCCTTCCCTGTCACTAATTTGTAGAGTTCAGGATAGTAAAATTCGAGGCTTTCTAAGAAAACCACATAGCCCCTTTCTCCTTTTGTATGAAGGATGTCCAGCAGACGACCTATAACAAGCCCAAACATTTACCTGGTTACTAAAATAGAGAATGCCAATTTGAAACTAAAATTGCAAGTGGGATTGGGAAGCACAGAAGTGACACATGAAGAACGATTGTAGCTGTAGAGAAGAAAAGAAAATTTGAAATGCAGGCTGGGAAATTACCTTTTCCAGGACCAACCAAAACAACTTAAAAGAGTATGCCAGTTTTTGAATTCTCCAGAACATCAGGCAAGACAGTACAAGCCTTATACATAATATTTAGTAGAACTGATGCTTTGTATATACGCTTTCCTCAATTTAATACCATTTGTTTAAACACCAGGTTGATACGCTGTCCTTCTGCTAAAAATTAACATTCAAGGTAGCTTACAGTTTCAAAGACAAAGAATTAAATAAAAGCAAGAGTAATAAAACATGAATAATAAACTAACTGACCCTTAAAGGCTTAGCTAAAGAGAGAGTAAGTATCTCCAAGCGAGGCTGGCACAGCAATCTGAAACTCTTACTCAGTGTAGCCAATTTCCCCAACTTGACTTCTTCTCCAGGCCAGTTAATATTACAACTTTATAAACTGTACTCCTAATATTTCTGGAAATAGCTGGTTTGGTGTAGTGGTTAAAGGCAGCAGGCTAGAAACCAGGAGACTGTGAATTCTAGTCCGGCCCATGGCACAGAAGCCAATGGGGTGACCTTGAGCCAGTCCCTCTTGCTCAGCCCTGGGGAGAAGAAGACAAGAGCCCACCTCTTCCAAAAATCTTACCAAGAAAACTGCAGGGACTAGTCCAGGCAGTCAGTAGGAGTCACAACTGACTCAAAACCACAAACAACCATCTTCTGGGGGACCAAGGTTTGAGAGAGCTTGATGGGGCCACACCAGGCCTAAACAGATCAGAACTAAAGAACCTAATAGTTTCTTGAGAAAGCATCTTCCTATATATCTATAAACATTTGCTAAAGTATGCTACAGTTCTCCAGTGTTTCCAATGTACTCTGCATAAACTGTATTTTTGAAGCCTTCCCTTTCCTTTTAAAATTGCACAGACTTTCAGACTGCATTCTCATGCGATCAGAGGGATCCTTTAATAATCAAAAACTCGAGGCCACACACAATCAGTAGTTCAGTCTTTCTTGGGGAGTGCCAAATTGGTGACAAAACGGTCCTGTCATCATGACTGATTGGGTGCAGTTACAGCTCCTTAGTCTTACCAGCTCGGTTGATTTTGGAGAGGAGCATCGGGGAGTTAAGGACCTCATCTTCATCTTGCTCATCAATGACTTTGCACTGACGTAAATAAGAGGTCAGCTTGGCAGGATTGATGTAACGAGTCAACATGTGACGGTTGCATTCAACGTTCTCCCATAGAGCTTCCTCTTCATCCTTCAAGGTTTCAAGACATTCATCCATTTTTCTATACTTCTCCCTAAAGGAAGAGGTTGAGGAACAGTTGTGATTCAGAAAGATTCCACATCTTGTCCATAAGATGGCTTAGGAGAAGAGAATTTACCAAGAGTAACTTGCACTGAATTTATCAATCTTTTCCGTGTCTTCCCCTCTACCGGAAACAATGCATTGTTTATTGTCCACTTACTCAAAAGAAGAGATTTCCACACACCATGTTGATTATAGAAACTAAATTGTCCAAAACATTTCTGTCCAGTCCCTTGGCAGCTGCCTAAAACCAAAAAGGCACAATTTTCACAGGGTTCTCTTTAGCAAGATTTATTGAGAAGAAAGGAAAGAGGTCACTGTACAAAAATTCCAGCAACTGGACTATTTCCCATTTAGAACGAATATATCCCATGTATATTATAGTGAAGAACTTCTTCACCAACAGCCTTCCTATGATCTGACAAAAAGATGGGTCTTTCCCCTGATAATAAAGAAGTTTGTAGCTGGCTATTGACATTGCATTCTCCCGAATCTCCCTGAGTCTAGGAACCACTTAATATAGTTCATTCACATCAGAAATGATTCTGCTTTGCATGACAAGCAACAATCAACACTACACCCCACAATATGTGGCTAGAAAATTTAGGGCCACATAAGAATAACAAGTGAGACTTTGACAGGATGATCTGCTACCAAGAAAGGACAAGGTCAGCAAGAAAATGAGAGAAACTGAGCCACCTGGATTTACTTCTCAGGCTCATGGATAAGGCATAGTAAACTCTGTGTATTTCACTTCTCCAGCCTGGCCCTTCCCAGACTGTGCTTCCTAGGCAGAGTAGCCAGTGGCCGGCTGTAACCCCCCCTCCCCCCCAAATTTGAAAGCTGTCACATGAAGGAAGATTGTTGTGCAAAAATGCCTGAGGCTGAACCTTGGAGGCCCAGGAACCTAGCAAAGAATGATTGGCATCTTGGGGGTTCGCAGTTTTATTATGGCATAAACGCTCATGGATTCTACGGGCCATCATCAGATGTCCTGATGCTTTAACTCAAGGCAAAGTGAGCCATCTGCTTCCAAAGTTCAATACCCACATTCTCTTTCCTTCTGAAAAATAAAAAGCACCGTTTTCATGTTTTTTTCCCTCTTTGAAAAACTATTTTTAGGTTGCAATTAAGGATGGTAATTCATTAACTTTTGGCTACTGGTTTTTCAACTATGATCTGAAGTGCACTTTCTAGAGACTGCATCTCTTTTCTCAAAATTACACTGCCAAACAGCAGCAAAATGCCTATTTTTCAGAAACAGTCTGTTTTGCTTCTTACTTGACAAAGGAAAAAGTCTAACCTGCATTGCAGGACGGTTACAAAGACGATCTAGGAAACAAATTATGCAGGATGCCTCGGAATAACATGGTGAACATCTTGCGTTCAGACGACTGGCATGCAAAGCTAGAAGCTTGATGGTGCAAGCCATGATAGCTTAAAGAGGGCCACTCCAGGTTTGGTTGACTAAGATTGTCTTGGCTCAGGAATGATGGCTACCCAACCACTGGTTCCCAGAGCAACCTTTACAACAAGCCTGCCCATTGGTCTACCAATTCTGCACCCACAGGAAAGCAGGAGCAACGGGAGAGGGAAAGAATTGCCTTGCAGAGCTCAGCAAACATCAAGCTACAATCAGATCTTCCTCCCAAATTATCTCTCATGGTCAATTCGTTCTGGCATTGCTCCAACCGTCGAGTGTATGTGTAGATGCATGAAGTCTCTTAGAAATTGAACAGGCCAGGGACCAACGCTTGCTTGCAGCAAGCGCGTGTTTGCATTGACACAGAGGATGAGAAGGAGTCGTGGAGATAAGTGAATGGGTGGAAAGATGGTCGCCGAGGGCCAAGCAAAACACATTCACTGTTGATGCAGCTGTGGCCGTAAGCATTTGGAAGGGCTGCAAAGCAGTCTCTTGCCAGCCCTGTGGTTGTTACAAATAAATGAAACATAAGACAGGAAAGCTATATCTGGCCCTGACATCCAATCTAGCAGAAAAACCACCCTACCATCAACTGGTTATCTCACAGAATCCATCACATTTCTTTGCAAATTATTAATAGCTACTTTTTCTCAGGACTGCTGTCATATCAGACACGGCTGTTTTATTTGGATCAATGCTGCAGCAAAGAGGAATTGACTGGATCTCAGTATTAGCATCTATATCAGTGTTTCTCAACCTCAGCAACTTTAAGATGCATGGACTTCAACTCCCATGCTGGCTGGGGAATTCTGGGAGTTGAAGTCCACGCATCTTAGAGTTGCTGAGGTTGAGAACCACTGGTCTATATTGTACTAGCCACAGGTTAACAAACAACAGCACTGCAAAGCTAGCCATCTGTCGTTTATCCAGCAAAGCATGACTTAGAAAAATTACTGCACATCTGTTGCTTTAGAGAAAGCATATGATAAAGGGAATAGGCTTGAATTATGGAAGGTTTTCCGGTAATAGGGAGTTGGAAATCAGCTGCTGAAAGCTGTAAGCAGTATATGATGATGGAAATAATGCATGCATGAGGCTAAATGATGGCTTAGCAGAGTCCTACACTGAGCAAGGAGTAAGACGAGGGTGTGCAATGTCTCCTTGGTTGTTTAACATATCCACGGATAAATGTAAAAAAAATATTGTGATGTCTGATTGGGGATGTGAATGGGAGTGCTCTTCTGTATGCAATGATGCTGTGTTTTTGATTGAGAACTTGAATGTTTTGCAGTGAATGTATAGTGCAAATAAGGAGAATGCCTCTGAAAAGTAAAACTCTTAAGCCCAAGGAAAATAGAGTGAATGACTGTACATTACACATAACTGTAGAAAAACTGAAGCGGGGAGATGAGTTTGTACATCTTTGTGGATTGTTTACTAAAGACTGGGAAAGGTGCAAGTGCGAGAAGAAAGAGACAAGGTGGTTTGCTGTAAGGAGCAATGCTTGTCAAAAGAAGCTCAAATAGCTATTAGTAAGAGCACGTATAATAGTGAGAGGTATGTCAGGAGAAATGTGGAATGTGTTACTTAAAAATGTATATGGTCTAACCAGAAGAGATTAGGGTCAGTGGGTGCTGAATGGATGTTGATGAAACACAACAGTGAATGACCAGTACAAAAAAGGGAGTTGAGATGATTTGTTCTTATGGAAAAAATGAATGAGGATCGAACTATAAATCAAATATGTGATGGAAGAGTGAATGGGTCGAGAGGAAGATGGAGCAAATCATGGTTGGACAGGCTGACATCCTCAAAAAGAGAGAGATGAGGGTGAACAGAAAGCAATATATGAAGCCACATATGAACATGTTGAGAGCAAGGATGGTTTGCAAGAGTAGAAAGATATTGTCAGCCCAACAAGGCAGACCAGACTAAGAAACCAATGCAACATAGGTCAGGACTACTGTTATTGTAACAGCTATAGTAACAGAATCTTGCAAGTCTGAATGTGTGTCCCTCTTTCTTCATGTGACTTAGGGAGGGGCTTGTCTCAGCTATTTTCTCAAGTTGTTTTCTTGGCCTGGGCTCACATCCCTCTTATCCAACCATTGACTTCATAGCAGGTCTTCCTCCTGTCCTTCAAGGCCATTCCCCATTCCCTCTACAGATATGGAGAGGTATAATGAATGGTCTTGGTGTAGAGTTAGCTATATTTCATTTCCAATCTCATGCCTTTCATTTCTTTGGCTCATCATTTCTTTGCTTTGCATAATATTGCTCACTCCAAAAGGGAACAAGGTGACGTGTATGCATGTAACTCAAACAAACCGTAGCTTGGTGCAATATGATCCAAGCCAAATTACCCTTTGAGCTTCCCCCATGCTTAAGACTAAGAATCAGTGTCCTTATGTTTTCTGAAAGGAAGTTCCATATCAATCATGGGTCATACTCTCTTGGTTTGCCCAATTCTTGAGCAGTGTGATAACCACCCACAAGAACTGTTCAAACCTGAATACCCCAAACCCATATTAAAAGAGGCTTAGCCAAGTCACTGGTCTCTCAAATCCCCCAATTCTGCCCTGCAGAAGGGGAATAGCAACACTGATCTACTTTACAAGGTTATTATTAGGCACCCTGAGAGATGAAACCAAAGCACTTGTGAAGTCTTTTAAGATGCCAACAAGATTCTTTGAGGTTTTAAGAGAACCTTAGTCTTTCCCCAGTTCATTCTAATTCAGTCTGATCAGCTTCAAGTTCTTGCTCATCTCCATCTCCATCCCCCTCCCCCATTCTCTCTCTTTCTGTTTTGCAAAGAAGCTATCTTCACCTTAACCAAGACCACAATGAGAGTTTTAAATAGCTGCAACATACATGGGTTTTATCACCCTTGCTCTTGCAGCCTCTGATTTGAGTGCCACTTAAGGTATGACACGACACTGTCTGAAGTGCTGGAGTGTCATGGAAACCTCCTGGCACCATTTTTCCAACTGCAGATGTGAAGTCACCCATGTGGACTGACTAGAAACAAAGCCTAGGGCTTACCTGTGCATGCTTTCAAATGTTCAGATTGCTGCAATGGCAAAAGATTTTCTCCTTGGCCATTCCTTCCTCCTCTCCCCAACTTGATTATTATACAAAGTAATCTTAATTTTGCAGGAAAACTCAGTCAGTTTCCATCCTGCACGTAACTGGAAGTGCTCCACCATATTCTCTCCACTCGTGTTTCTCCTGAGCCACTTAGTAGCTGTGCCAAATGCATACACACTGTTTGCGTTACTGACTTGATTTCTGCCTGAAGAAATCACCTTGCACCTGGTAGGGTGTATCTGGCCTCAAATAGGAGAGGAAGGGGAAGAGTTCTCTAAGTAGCAAGTCCCTGAAATGTAATTGTGAGAAATCAGATGCATCCGGCATATAGTATCATTATTATAGTTTTGGGACAATGGGGAGGCACATCCTAAGAGCTAAAGTACAGGACGAGGCAGTTTTCAAGATTAATTTAGGTGTGCTACTAGGGAAAATGTACTCAGGCAAACAGGCCTACCTCAAGGGT